GCACGGGCAATTGGTCATTTTTCCTTAGAAATCTGCGGCGATATGTTGTATTCGACAGACAGATATGCGTTCTTTCTGACAGGGATGTGGGTCTACGCAGTGCGATTGAATCATTACCGGATTGGCAAGAACCCGCTGCGTATCACCGGATTTGCCTTCGACACCTTCGAAGCAACGTGGTGACCCGGTTCAAGAGTAAGAAAATTCAGGATTGGTGTTGGGAGTTGGGTTCGCAGTTGTCGAAGCAAAAGTTTCGACAGACAAAACAGCGACTTCAAGAATTTAATCCCGACGCATACAATTATCTTTTCAACATTCCTTTGAACCAGTGGACCCTGTATCGAGATGAAAAACATAGATGGGGCACTTTGACAACGAATATGTCGGAGAGTTACAACAATGTCCTGAAAGGGTTAGGTTCCTGCCGTGCAGAGCTTTGGTAGAGGCCACATTTCAAAAAACTCTGGATTTGTTTCGACAAGAACAACACAAGTCCAGCAGATGCAGGAGTCCCATTTCTCATTTGCACTATGTTGCGTTTTTGCAGTTGGAGCAAACTGCCGCAACTCACGAGGTGGAATGTACGGACTACGACAGATCGATGTACGCGGTGACAACCGGTCTACGCGCTAGTGGAAGAGGGCAAAACAAGTAAGTATATGTTTTTTTTTTGTTGTTCATTCATTTTTTTTCTTTTGTATTATATAAATCAATGTTGAAATACAGGTATAAGGTTGACTACCCCGGAAAACGTTGTACTTGTCGGAAGTGGCAGACACATAGAAAACCGTGTTCTCACGCGATAGCCGTCTGTCGTAGAATTGCGGGTGACCCAAAGCTGTTGTACGATGATCACTTCTGGACGTCGACCTGGGTAGCTCAGTTTACTAATTGGAGTTTTACTCCGATTGGTAATCCGGATACATGGCCACCGGTGGGATGGAATTTGATTCCACACTGGGAGAGGATCATCTTGAAGGCTGGACCCAGTCGCAAGCAAACAAGACGCTACCGCATGCAAATGGATCGTCGGGCACGACGCAGAAATGAGAGGGGGCATTGTACTAGATGCGGTGATCCAGAGCATGTTGTGGATGAGTGTCCGTCCTCACATCCTCGCAGTGATAGGTCTAGACTTCGTGATGTGTGGGGAGATTAGATTTTTTATTGTTTATTTGGATTTGTTTGGATTATTTATTTGGATTATTTATTTGGATTTGGTTGGATTATTTATTTGGATTTGTTTGGATTATTTATTTATTTGGACTTGGTTTGATGATATTTAAGGTAGATTGCTTGATTTGTTCGTGTAATTTTGGTTTAGTTGGTTGTTTTGAATATTTAAAACAGGTGCGTTCGAGTCGTGTGATCATCACCAAGTTTTTTATTTTTATTTTTCCCAGTTTAAAACGTATTTAAGAAATAAGTTCTATAATTAATTCAATGGAAAACATATTCTCAGAATACGTTTTACAAATAAATCATTATGAAACGTATTCTGAGGATACGTTTCATAAAAACAAAAAAAATGGTGGAGGCTCCCAGATTGGGGACTCGAACCCGGGTCAATGGACGAGTCCGGTTTCTCTGGGCGCACCTCGAACCACTGTGCCGGCAGACACTTTCCGATTATTTTTAAACAAATTATATACATATACATAAAATTATACAATACATTAAAAAAAAATTGTAATTTATACTATATTTTATTATTACCTACTAAGGACAATTACTTCTCTACTGGATATTGAATGAACCATTTCCTGATACGGATCCAACCATCGGAAGAGGTTTGTACCAACCAAGCCAAGAACAAAGTTTTTGTGATTGATTTCTCTATTTAACAAGTTTTTGGTGTTAAATATGTTTTCAGGTCCTCAGAGCCGACTGGATCTGGTGAATCGTTCAGGCCTGGAACATGGCAACCGCCAACATGAAACCCCATTGGTAGTACTTCAGCCATTTGATTGCATGTTGGCTCTTTTCTTAACTGAGTGTTGGTCACTTTCTAAAGGATATATTTTGTTATAATTGTAAATAGAGTAATTCAACCTCCATCTGTGTGTGTAAGTGAAGTTGTTTTTGTTGGGTTCTATTAAGAACGTCGATCCATGTGCATCAACGAATTCCTAAGTAAATAATCCCAGTGCAATGGATTTGGAGTTAAAATTAAGAACTTCCGGTTAA